TTAAAATATTATCTTTTTTTTAAAATCGGCCAATGTCTCATAAATATCTTTTCAATCTCTCTGTATTGACAATTAAAACCTGATATAAACGCATAGTCAATTCCCTTTTTCTTTTCTTCAGTTTTTAATTCTTTCTTAATTTTCCCTTCCCCCAGATAATTCTGACTTATCTTAAATCTGATATTTTCCAATTTTATTGGATCATAACCTTTGGCAATAAATCTGCTCTTAATAACTTCCGACTGTGAAATGTAGTCCTCTAATCTGGAACAATTCCTCATGATTCTTGTAAATTGTCCCTTTGGTACACCTTGTATCCACCAGGGGTGGTGACAACTACTTACAGGAATATATCCATTTTTATCTGTGTGTCTTTAAAAAAAGTCTTAAAATATAACTTATTGTTCGACTTAAAAATAGTTAGATCTAAAAAATTGACCAATTCCGTACTCCTACTGTGGGTAAAAGTTAATTCATACACTGTTTTTCCCAATAAAATCCAAAAATTGTTGTAAACTCTTTTCCGTTCCTTCCCAAACTACCAGAATATCGTCTATGTATCTTTTCCATATTTTTAAGCCTCTCCAATTTTTTCCATAGATTTCCTTATCTTCCCATTTTGCTAAAAAGATGTTGGCCAAACTTGGGGCAAATTTAGCGCCCATCGCGACACCTTTTCTTTGCTCATAATAATCACCATCATACCAGAAATAATTTTTTCCCATGGAAAATTCCAATAATTGTATGATGAACTTTCTTTGTTTAATATGTAAATCTGTATGATATTTCAGGGCCCATTTTATCGCATCTATTCCATCTTTATGTTTTATGCTTGTGTATAGGGAATTCACATCTATGGTTACTAGATACATCTCTTGTGTCATCTCCATACCTTCCAATAAATTAATAACATCCTGGCCGTCCTTTAAATATGAAGGCATTTTTTTAACCACCGGTTGTAAATAAAGGTCAATATATTGTCCCACCCTTGAATGTATAGAACCAATTCCATTAATAATGGGCCTACCCGGAGGATTGGTCAAACTCTTATGAATTTTAGGTAGGATATAAATATATGGAACTTTACAATGTGATGGAACAAGATACAACGCTTCTTTCTCACAAATAATTTTATCCTCTTCTGCTTTATTGATCAATTTCAGGAGCTGTTTCCTATAAAGGGCTGTAGGATTTTTTGAAATTCTTTCATATGTACTCTTATCGCCTAAAATCAAATTCATTCCTTCTTCATATTTTGATCTATCCATTAAAACCACCCCTCCCCCCTTGTCCGCCGATCTAATCACAACATTATTTCTTTTCTTTAATGAAAGTAAACCCTGATGTAAGTATTTCTCCTCCTTAAATTTCCGTACGTTCAAATCATATAAATCATCTATTAGCATTTGTTTGAATACCTCTACATTCATATTTCTAGAATTAAAAGGATTAAACGTCGATTTATTCTTTAGGTTACTATGAACATATTTAGACCTTGATTGGGGGTTAGCAGTAGATGTCGGCCCTGGTAGAGAAGTAAAATATTTCTTAATATTAATTTTCTGATGTATTTATTGATATGAATATATGTCTCAAATTTATTTAAATTTGATTTAGGGGCAAACTTAAGACCTTTCTCTAATACTAAAATTTCTTCATCCCTTAGGGGGTCTGAACTCAAATTATAGATACCTTCTCCTATACTTCTTTTCTCTTTCTCTTGTTTTCATTCCCTTTTTCTACTACTCGATCCTCTACTTGGTAATTCCTTACTTCTTCTTCTCTTGGAGCATAACCTCCCTCCCATTCCGTCCTTTGATAGTAATAGGGATTCCTTTGTCCTCCCCTTCCCCATTGGGGTTGGTAATACGGTCTCATAAACGGTGGACCTGGTGGGCGACCTCTGTAGTCCCTCTGAAAAAAAATTCCCCTCCCTCTATTTCTACCTGGGCTGTAATAGTTATTTCTGGGGCTATATTGATTATTCTGTTATAAACTGGAACATTAAATCCTTGATCAGCCGAATTTCTTGATTTGTAATTAGTTTTATTAGCAGATGATTTTGATTCTGCTCCCTTCACTGGGATTGATACAGCTTCCATCGTCTTATTTTGGCTCTGGGATATATAACCGGGCCTACTAACTTTCTTTCAATATCTCCAGTGATAGATTTAGCTGGTGATGATTCGGTAGACTGACAATTTTTTGAAATTACTTCTTGCCATTTATAAACTTTATTGGCCTGATAATCTCCCATGTCTCTAACAAATTTCTTATGTTTCTTTTTCTTGATTTCCCCATCCTTTTTATTCAGCTGTTCCTGTAAATTTTGAAATAAACCATTCAGATCTCTCTTGTCCTTAAATTCTTCAAATTTCTTTTTCATCTCATCCAATTTAGTTTCAACTAGCTTTAATTTTCTCTTTTTCCTTTCTATCAACATTACAAGCAATTGATTCTCACAAGTGTGGAAAAAACTCTTCCACTCACTTAGAGAATCTTCATCATTAAGTCTATCATTTGGGATTAAGTCCCATCTTAGTCTCCGAGGAACAATACCTTCAAGGTATGGCGATGACACAAGAGATGTATCTAGTAACCATAGATGTGAATTCCCTATACACAAGCATAAAACATAAAGATGGAATAGATGCGATAAAATGGGCCCTGAAATATCATACAGATTTACATATTAAACAAAGAAAGTTCATCATACAACTATTGGAATTTTCCATGGGAAAAAATTATTTCTGGTATGATGGTGATTATTATGAGCAAAGAAAAGGTGTCACGATGGGCGCTAAATTTGCCCCGAGTTTGGCCAACATCTTTTTAGCAAAATGGGAAGATAAGGAAATCTATGGAAAAAATTGGAGAGGCTTAAAAATATGGAAAAGATACATAGTGTCAGGAATGGACTGGCCAGCAATAGTGGGACTCAGCTGCCTTATGAGCTGTAGTACCAGGGCTGGCCAGCGGGTGCTCCCAGCAATCAGAGACTCAACCTTGCAGCCAGTCAAACACCTGGAACTAATTATACTGGTGTATATAAGGGACATTCAGACCTGCAGACTCTGCCTTGGTGTTGTGTTTCTCTTGAGCCCTGTATCCTGTTCCTGCTCTCTGTTCCTGTCTGATTCTCTGCTGACCCTGCTCTGATCCCTGGCTTGTTTGACCATTCTCCTCTGCCTGACCCTCTGTACCACGCTGCCCGCTACCTGCTGAACCTGGCCTGTGACCCCGACCATTCTCCGCTTGCTCCCCCTGTACCTACCTGCCCGACTGATATTGACCCGGCCTGCCTGACAACGCTTGCATTGTATGTACTGTTATCTGTGGGTGGTTGGTTTGGTTCGTTCGTTTGCACTGTGTTATGTTTTAGTATTGCACTGCGTTTATGTTTGTATGGTTAGTGTTAATAAATTACATTGTTTATAACATATCTGAAGTCTGCGTTTCCCTGCGTCAGTCACACACCTCTGGTCATACCCGGGAGCCCTGACATTACACCAAGGCCAATCCTGACCAGAAGTGGCTGCACAGGGAAGCCATCTTGGCTTGTTGATGGGAAGGATGGATCTGGATGAGGTTGCGTATTTATATCTGCTAGTGTTTGATGACAGGGAGTATGCTTATCAAACTCTGAAGGAGTATACCCGGGATGAACTGTTAGAATGTATACGGCTCGCTCATGTTCTAGAAGATCAGGGCACAGAATTCTCTGAGGTGCAGCCTTTGATTGAGCTTTGTGCTGAGTTGGTTTCATCTGGTACCCCCCAAATGCAGGGATGAATTTTTGCCACCATTTAGTGCAGACCAGGTAGAGTCCCTGGTGTGGTTATTAGAGGATGATGTGGATTACTTCTTGGAGCATTATGCTGCATGTTCACCACAGGTACTAAGAGATTGTATAAACGCAGTGCAGTCTTTGGTCAGACAGGCTTTGTGTAAGCTCAGCTTTGTTCAACCCCTACTGCAGACATGGACAGACTTGTTGCACCCAGCCTCAGTCAGCTTACAAAAACCCAGTCCTGCTTCTAATCTATTTCCTCAAAACTCTATTCCTGCATTCCCAACAGCTCCTCCTGCCCTGCTATCTACCGCATGTCAGTACCCTGTTCCCACTCGCTGCACCTATCCTGCCTTTAACCCTGTAAAAAAGCCCTCTGTAGCAACTGCTCCCCCTCTCCTGTTCCATCCTCCAGCTCTTCTCTGTCTCCAGCTGCTCCATTCGTTTGCAGACCTGCGTTTACTTGCAGTGCTCCAGTAGTTAAAACCAGAAAAAAGCGAAAATTCTTTCCAACCAATACCATCCTGCCAGTATCCAAACCGGTGAACCTGCCTTCCGTGGTTCAGCCTGAAGCCTCTACTCAGCCTGAATCCTCTACTCAGCCTGATGCCTGTACGCAGCCTGATGCCTCTACTCGGCCTGATGCCTGTACGCAGCCTGATGCCTGTACGCAGCCTGATGCCTCTCTTCAGCCTGAAGCCTCTACTCGGCCTGAAGCCTCTACTCGGCCTGAAGCCTCTACTCGGCCTAACGACGCTCTGCCTGAGGGCCCTAGACCTGTCGCTCCGCCTGGGGGTCCGGCGCCCGCCGCTCCGCCTGAGGGCCCGAGACCTGTCGCTCCGCCTGGGGGCCCGAGACCTGTCGCTCCACCTGGGGGCCCGGCGCGCGCTGCCCCGCCTGGGGGCCTGAGACCTGTCGCTCCGCCTGAGGGCCCGAGACCTGTCGCTCCACCTGGGGGTCCGGCGCCCGCCGCTCCGCCTCAGGGCCCGAGACCTGTCGCTCCACCTGGGGGTCCGGCGCCCGCCGCTCCGCCTCAGGGCCCGAGACCTGTCGCTGCCTGGGGGTCCGGCGCCCGCCGCTCCGCCTGAGGGCCCGTGACCTGTCACTCCGCCTGGGGGTCTGGCGCCCGCCGCTCCGCCTGAGGGCCCGAGACCTGTCGCTCCGCCTGGGGGCCCGGCGCCTGCCGCTCCGCCTGAGGGCCCGAGACCTGTCGCTCCACCTGGGGGTCCGGCGCCCGCCGCTCCGCCTGAGGGCCCGAGACCTGTCGCTCCACCTGGGGGTCCGGCGCCCGCCGCTCCGCCTGGCGGCCCGATGCCTGTCGCCCCGCCTGGGGGCCCGATGCCTGTCGCCCCGCCTGGGGACCCGATGCCTGTCGCCCCGCCTGGGGACCCGATGCCTGTCGCCCCGCCTGGGGACCCGATGCCTGTCGCCCCGCCCGGGGGGCCCGCTGCCTGCTGCTCCGCCCGGGGGCCCGCTGCCTGCTGCTGCCCGCTGCCTGCTGCTCCCCGGGGGCCCGCTGCCTGCTGCTCCGCCTGGTGGCCCGCTGCCTGCTGCTTCGCCTGGTAATCCGATGTGCCTCTGCCCGGAGTCCGGCCCGATGTGCCTCTGCCCGGAGTCCGGCCCGATGTGCCTCTGCCCGGAGTCCGGCCCGATGTGCCTCTGCCCGGAGTCCAGCCCGATGTGCCTCTGCCCGGAGTCCAGCCCGATGTGCCTCTGCCCGGAGTCCAGCCCGATGTGCCTCTGCCCGGAGTCCAGCCCGATGTGCCTCTGCCCGGTGTGCCTCTGCCCGATGTGCCTCTGCCCGGAGTCCTGCCCGATGTGCCTCTGCCCGGAGTCCTGCCCGATGTACCTCTGCCCGGAGTCCAGCCCGATGTGCCTCTGCCCGGAGTCCAGCCCGATGTGCCTCTGCCCGGTGTGCCTCTGCCCGATGTGCCTCTGCCCGGAGTCCTGCCCGATGTGCCTCTGCCCGGAGTCCTGCCCGATGTACCTCTGCCCGGAGTCCAGCCCGATGTGCCTCTGCCCGGAGTCCTGCCCAATGTGCCTCTGCCCGGAGTCCTGCCCAATGTGCCTCTGCCCGGAGTCCTGCCCAATGTGCCTCTGCCCGGAGTCCAGCCCAGTGTGCCTCTGCCCGGTGTGCCTCTGCCCGATGTGCCTCTGCCCAGAGTCCAGCCCGATGTGCCTCTGCCCGGAGTCCAGCCCGATGTACCTCTGCCCGGAGTCCAGCCCGATGTACCTCTGCCCGGAGTCCAGCCCGATGTACCTCTGCCCGGAGTCCAGCCCGATGTACCTCTGCCCGGAGTCCAGCCCGATGTACCTCTGCCCGGAGTCCAGCCCGATGTACCTCTGCCCGGAGTCCAGCCCGATGTGCCTCTGCCCGGTGTGCCGCTGCCCGGAGTGCCTCTGCCCGGAGTCCGGCCCGATGTGCCTCTGCCCGGAGTCCGGCCCGATGTGCCTCTGCCCGGAGTCCAGCCCGATGTACCTCTGCCCGGAGTCCAGCCCGATGTGCCTCTGCCCGGTGTGCCGCTGCCCGAGTGCCTCTGCCCGGAGTCCGGCCCGATGTGCCTCTGCCCGGAGTCCGGCCCGATGTGCCTCTGCCCGGAGTCCGGCCCGATGTGCCTCTGCCCGGAGTCCTGCCCGATGTGCCTCTGCCCGGAGTCCTGCCCGATGTGCCTCTGCCCGGTGTGCCGCTGCCCAGAGTCCTGCCCGGTGTGCCAGTCTTTGATATCCCGCCAGTTACCAGACCCGGGCGGTGGAACATTTTGCCCAGCTAGGACTGTTTGGAGCGTCCTGAGGCCGCTCCTTGAGGGGGGGGGGGTACTGTCAGGAATGGACTGGCCAGCAATAGTGGGACTCAGCTGCCTTATAAGCTGCAGTACCAGGGCTGGCCAGCGGGTGCTCCCAGCAGAGACTCAACCTTGCAGCCAGTCAAACACCTGGAACTAATTATACTGGTGTATTTAAGGGACATTCAGACCTGCAGACTCTGCCTTGGTGTTGTGTTTCTCTTGGGCCCTGTATCCTGTTCCTGCTCTCTGTTCCTGTCTGATTCTCTGCTGACCCTGCTCTGATCCCTGGCTTGTCTGACCATTCTCCTCTGCCTGACCCTCTGTACCACGCTGCCCGCTACCTGCTGAACCTGGCCTGTGACCCCGGCCATTCTCCGCTTGCTCCCCCTGTACCTACCTGCCCGACTGATATTGACCCGGCCTGCCTGACGACGCTTGCATTGTATGTACTGTTATCTGTGGGTGGTTGGTTTGGTTCGTTTGCACTGTGTTATGTTTTAGTATTGCACTGCGTTTATGTTTGTATGGTTAGTGCTAATAAATTACATTGTTTATAACATATCTGAAGTCTGCGTTTCCCTGCGTCAGTCACACACCTCTGGTCATACCCGGGAGCCCTGACACATAGACAATATTCTGGTAGTTTGGGAAGGAACGGAAAAGAGTTTACAACAATTTTTGGATTTTATTGGGAAAAACAGTGTATGAATTAAATTTTACCCACAGTAGGAGTACGGAATTGGTCAATTTTTTAGATCTAACTATTTTTAAGTCGAACAATAAGTTATATTTTAAGACTTTTTTTTAAAGACACACAGATAAAAATGGATATATTCCTGTAAGTAGTTGTCACCCACCCCTGGTGGATACAAGGTATACCAAAGGGACAATTTACAAGAATCATGAGGAATTGTTCCAGATTAGAGGACTACATTTCACAGTCGGAAGTTATTAAGAGCAGATTTATTGCCAAAGGTTATGATCCAATAAAATTGGAAAATATCAGATTTAAGATAAGTCAGAATTATCTGGGGGAAGGGAAAATTAAGAAAGAATTAAAAACTGAAGAAAAGAAAAAGGGAATTGACTATGCGTTTATATCAGGTTTTAATTGTCAATACAGAGAGATTGAAAAGATATTTATGAGACATTGGCCGATTTTAAAAAAAGATAATATTTTAAGTTCGATACTACCAGATAAACCGTCCTTTATTTATAGAAAGACAAATAATTTAAGAAGTACGTTAGTGAAAGGCGTGATTTCTCCACCAAAGAAAACCACTAGAGGGAGTATAATATAAAGTTATATGTAAATGGATGATAGGATTATATAAAAAAATAAATAAAATAGTTAGGGGCTAGTATTATTATTAATATTGTTTATAAATTGATTTTAATTGTAAATAGGAGGGTTTAGTATTGTGATGTATAAATTCTCTTAATTATTTAATTTTATTTATTTGGTTGTTGAGGGAAGATTTGGCTGATATAATGGTATAATATTGTATAAGCTTGTTACATGTTTAATAATTCATATAACCCTCTGTCATCCTTGGGTATGTTACACTGATCGGACCGATTTGCATAAGGTCCGATATACCTGTTGACTGTTGATAATGTTGAAAATGACAGAAATATGGACATCGCCGTTTTTTCCCTTTTTAAAAATGGCGGTCGGAGCCTCGAGTCATTAGGAGGCATTGACTTAAAAGGAGCGACAAGTGGGACGTCTTTATCCCTTCAGACGAAGTCCGGAAGTGACGAAACGCGTTAGGGAGTGACGTCAAGACGCACGTACGCAGACCGGAAGTGTCGCCGCGGCCATTTTGTCGGTTATCCACACATGGTTTTCCACATGGTTTGGTGGATTGAGTTTAGAACCATGTCTGGAGCTGAAAATCTTGAATTTTAATGTAAGTGATTAATAAAAAGTTTTCCCTATGCTTTGAATACCAGTCTTGAGACCATTCTTATCTTTCTGAGGACCTTGGAAAAATATCTTTGAAGAGAATATGGAGGAGTACTGATCCATAGTATTGCTTAGTATTTCAATACACATAAAGGGTAATAGTATTTAGTACTATTGTGTGCTGGTTGATGGTATACACGGAGTTGTAGTGATCACTGAGTGCTCACAGTGTGATTTATGTGATTATATGCACTATAAGAAAGCAATTTGAATTGAAATAATTTATTTTATTTAAATATATATTGTGGGAACTCACTTATTAGTGGTAGAGCTTCTTCAAAGCACACAGCAACTCGCTTATTTTTAAGGGCCTTTTTGCCCACTTTTTTTAAATGAAAGTCCTGTAACATAAAGGTTTCCCGCGCAGGGGTTTCCACCATCACACAAATTCAAATAATACTCAGCCTTCTGGCTCTCTCAGATATCCCGCTTTATATATGTCTCCTACAGACGCCTTCCACGAGGTTGTTTTTGCACACAGCAAACTTCTAGCACACAGCTAGTCTGGCTTCCACCTCTCCTTGGTGAAGCCCACCTGACTCCAAGGCAGTGACCTCCTGCCTGCCGGGTTGGCGCCCTCCTGACTCCTAGGCAGAGACCCTCCCGTCTGCTTGGGTGGAGCCCAGAATCATGGCCTGGCCTCCACTAAAAGGCCTGCACACATCTGTGCAATCAGCACGCTGGCTGCTCCCAAAATATGGGCCCAGGATTGGAGATTTCATCCCTCCCAAATCTCTAAGAAATCTCCAGGCTACAGGTCCCAAAACAGGCTTTACATACCAAAGAGGACACTGATAAACCAGTTTCCTCTGCATTATGAGATATGCCTGGAGCCCCTCAACCTGCATGGTTGAGAATCCTGGGTCTCCATCATGCTTTCTACCGTGGCACGATACTGTACTGCCACAATATATATATATATTTTTTTTCTCTCTGTTGCACAAATATTTTTTAAGTGAATTGTGATTTGCACGGGGTGATTATTTTTATTTATTAAGGTAATGCACTAGATTTTGTATTTTTTACTTTGAGGTGCATATTGGATGGAAGAGGAGTTAATCCTTCTATTGGATGAAAAAGTTGGAAAATTTGGGACATTTTTTGGACACTGTTTGGACTTTCTTTTTGGACACTTTTACTGATTTATTGGACTTTATTGTACACTTTATGTTTAAATTTATGTTTATTTCATTTATTTATTATAATATATCACAAAAGGTATATATATGATATTGCACTTTCTAAGGAGGAAGTACTGACTTTTTGAGGGATTATAAAGGAGAAGGGTGAATATTGATTTAGAACATGAGCCTATTTGTTATATATACTGCACACATATGCTTCATTCCTTCTGCCCACAAAATATAACTTAATTACTGTGCCAGTAAGTAAGCCTAAATTTAATTAAAGGAGAAGTACACCCAAAGCTCTTTTGGCTGAACTTTTCCTATGGATCACAGGAGCGCAGTTCGTTCCACACTCCTTTTCAACTGACAGTGGGCTTGTTGTTGGAGGGATCGATTCGTTCTTTGGAGAACTGGGCCAACTTTGTGGTCTGGCTCTGTCTGCATTGCTGGCTCTATAGCAGAGATATACTGCACCTAAAAAAGGGAGGATGCAGCTCTGTTGGGGGAGTAGATGGCTAGAACGTTGGAGGAAATTGTAAACTAGGATGTGGGGGGAGGTATCAGTAAAGGGAATACCATACAGTGAACAAGGGTCAGAGTGTGCAGCCAGGGAGGGAAAGGGCCTCAAATGAAATAACAAAAGTGTGCAAGTATGAAATAAAATACACTTGTACACAATTAAAAAGTATGTACACAAATGCTAGAAGTCTGTTTAATAAAACAACTAGTACCTCTGCTACATGAGTAGTATTTTACCTTCATAGGAATATCATGAGCCTGGTTCAACAGCTCATATGACTGGCTTGTGACTCTCTGTATCGCAGGACAGAGTAGGTAGAAGGGGGGGGGGGGGATGTTTTTGTATGTCAAGAGTGTCTTGATGGTGAATATGAGGGATGACATTGCTTACATTGCTAGTTAGTAGGTGGAGTCTTTGCGGCTGGAGCTTCAAAACAAATGGTAAATTACTTGTTGGTGCATGCAAGAGGCTAGAGGCCCTGTAACATTAAGGAGGAGTCACATCTCTTTTCTCAGTCAGAAACAGCAGGGAGGCAGGGACATGTCATATATATATATATATATATATATATATATATATATATATATATGCAACCTAATAATCCTCCAATTATTTTTCGTAAATCTAGAACACTTGTTGGAGATGCTCCATAAAAAAAACTCTGGGAAAAGATGCAATTAAAACTAAAGACTTTAGTTCCCAGACTACACAGTAAAAATACAAGATTCAGGATTTTATTTCATGTTGTTTATTTATTGGGGTGCCTGTGTGGCTTCCAATATGTTGGGAGGACCTCACGAGCGCTATAAGTTAGAATGAATGAACATATTGCCAATATAACAAGGAAATTTAAAGGACATAGTTTGTCTAACAACTACTGTCTGTATCATAACAAGGACCTTTCCTCTCTTACTCTCATAGCCATAGAAAAGTATAATCCTTATTGGAGGGGGGATAATAAAATCTGCAGAATATCAAGGGCTGTAACCCGTTGGATATATTAGCTAAAAATGTATTATCCCCATGAACTTAATAAACAATGGGATCTCCACTGTTTTACTAATAATAGCTAAGTAATTGGGTACCGATATATATATATATATATATATATACATACAGTATATATATATATATATACACACACTGCTCAAAAAAAATATATCTATACTGATATGGACTTGGTAATGTGTTAGGAATGTAAGGATGCCCCATCGTTTGATGGAAATGAAAATGATCAACCTACAGAGGACTGAATTCAAAGACACCCCGAAAATCAAAGTGAAAAAATAATGCAGCAGACTAGTCCATTTTGCTGAAATTTCATTGCAGCAGCTCAAAATGGTACTCTGTAGTTTGTATGGCCCCAATGTGCTTGTATGCATGCCTGACAACATTGGGGCATGCTCTCAATCAGACAACGAATGGTGTCCTGGGGTATTTCCTCCCTGATCTGGCTCAGGGCATCACTGAGCTCCTGGACAGTCTGAGGTGCAACCTGGAGGTGTTGGATGGACCGAAACATGATATCCCAGAGATGTTCTATTGGATTTAGGTCAGGTGAGCATGGAGGCCATTCTGTGGTATCTATTCCTTCATCCTCCTGGAATTACCTGCATACTTTCACCACATGAGGCCGGGCATTGTCCTGCACCAGGAGGAACTCAGGACCCACTGCACCAGCCTAGGGTCTGAAAATGGGTCCAAGGATTTCATCCCAATACTAATGGCAGTCAGGGCGCCATTGTCTAGCCTGTAGAGGTCTGTGCGTCCCTACATGGATATGCCTTCCCAGACTATTATTATTATTATACAGTATTTATATAGCGCCAAAGGGTATGCTCAGCGCTGTAGAGTAGCAAGGGGGACATAACATGAGACAAGACAGTAACAATACACTACACGAGGGGTTCGAGGGCCCTGCTCTTTTGAGCTTACAATCTAGGAGGGAGGGAAGGTGGCACAGGAGGAGATGGCTGTGGGGGATGGAGTGGTGGGTGGAGTGGAGGAGGTTAGTTGTTAGGTGAGGTCGGGTGTCAGGTGAGGTTGGGGTAGGCTTCCCTGAAGAGGAGGGTTTTCAGGGTGCGCCTGAAGGTGAGGAGGGTAGGTGACATTCTGATGGATTGGGGTAGGGAGTTCCACAGGATGGGGGACGTCCTAGAGAAGTTCTGCAATCGGGCGTGGGAGGAGGAGACCAGGGAGCTAGAGAGCAGGAGGTCCTGTGAGGAGCGGAGGGCACGGGTAGGGTAATATCTGGGTATCAGGTCAGTTATGTAGTTTGGGGCGGCATTGTGAATGGCCTTGTAGGTCAGGGTTAGCAGCTTGAACTTGATGCGTTGGGCAATCGGGAGCCAATGAAGGGATTGGCAGAGGCGGGAGGCAGATGTGGAGCGCTTGGTGAGGTGGATGAGTCTGGCCGCTGAGTTTAGGATCTACTAGAGTGGGGATAGCGTTCGTTTGGGTAGGCCAGTGAGAACGGAGTTGCAATAGTCCAGGCGTGAGATGATGACGGAGTGCACGAGTTGTTTGGTGGTGTCTGGGGTGAGGAATGTGCGTATCTTGGAGATGTTGCGGAGGTGGAGCCTGCAAGATCTAGATAGCAGTTGAATGTGGGGTAGGAAGGAGAGGTGGGAGTCCAGGGTGACACCCAGGACTTTGGCGTGTGGGGTGGGAGAGATGGTGGCGTTGTTAGTAGTGATGGAGAGGATGGGGAGGTACGGGGTGGGGGGAAGACCAGGAGCTCGGTTTTGGATAGGTTAAGTTTGAGGAAATGGAGCGACATCCGACTATCACTGACCCACCACCAAAACGGTTATGCTGAATGATGTTACATGCAGCATAATGTTTTCCACAGCTTCTCCAGACCCTTTCACGTCTGTCACATGTGCTGAGGGTGTACCTGCTCTCATCTGTGAAAAGCTCAGGGCACCAGTGCCGGATATGCCAATTTTGATGTTCAATGACAAATGCCAATCTATAATGCTGGGCAGTGAGCACATGGCCCACTAGAGGACATTGGGCCCTCAGGCCACCCTCATGAAGTCTGTTTCTGATTGTTTATTCAGAGACATTCACACCAATGGCCTGCTGGAGGTCATTTTGTAGGGCTCTGGCAGTGCTCATCCTGTTCCTCCTTCACAAAGGAGCAGATATTGGTCCTGATTATGGGTTAAGGACCTTCTACGGCCCTGTCCAGCTCTCCTAGAGTTATTGCCCGTTTCCTGGAATCTCATCCCTGCTCTTAAGACTGTGCTGGGAGACACAGCAAACTTTCTGGCAATTGCATGTATTGATGTTCCATCCTGGAGGAGTTGGACTACCTGTGCAACCTCTGTAGGATCCAGGTATCGCCTCATGCTACCAGTAGTGATGCTCACCCTAGTCAAATGCAAAACTAGTGAAAAACAGTCAGAAAAGATGAGTAGGGACAAAAATGTCAGTGGCCTTCACCCGTAAAACCATTCATGTTTTGGGGTTTGTCTCATTGTTGCCCATCAAGTGCACCTGTTGTTAATTTCATTAACACCAAAGTAGTTGAAACTGATTACCAACCCCCTCTGCTACTTAATTGACCAGATCAATCTCCCAGGAGTTTAACTAACTTGAGGCTATACTCTGATTAAAAAGTATTCCTTTAATTTTTTTGAGCAGTGGTTGCCAAAAGTATTGCGACACCCCTCCAAATAATCGGACTCAGATATTCCAATCACCTCCATGGCCACATGTGTATGAAATCAAGCACCTAGGCATGCAGACTGCTTCTACAAACACGTTTGTCAGTGAAATTTCCTTACTACTAAAAATTCCATGGTTAACAGTTAGTGGTATTATAACAAAGTGGAAGCAACTAAGAACAACAGCAACTCAGCCATGAAGTGGTAGGCCATGTAAAATGACAGAAGGGGGTCAGCTGATAGTGAAGCGCACAGTGCGCAGAAGTCTCCAACTGTCTGCAGCGTCAATAGCTAAAGACCTACAAACTTTGTGTGGCCTTCAGATTAGCACAATAACAGTGCATAGAGAGCTTCATGGAATGGGTTTCCATGGCGAAGCAGCTGCATCTAAGCCTTACATCACCAAGTGCAATGCAAAGCGTCGGATGCAGTGGTGTAAAGCACACCGCCACTGGACTCTACACCTATGTTCCAAATTATTATGCAAATGATATTTTTC